AATGGGTTGCAAACACAGAAAAACAGGGAGTTTGGTTTAAAATACATAGTGTTGCTTCCTTACCTCCCTGCACATCTCAAACTCTCCAAGAATTATTCAAATCCACTTTGGGAAGCTGGTTTTCTTACATGGTGATAAAGAGTAAGCCATCCCAGAGTTCAAAATTTAAACCAAGTAACCTGCTTTACACAAAAAATTTTTAAAATTAACAGAATAGGGCTAATAGAGATGACAAAGACTCAACACAGACCATGGTAAAATGTTTGAAAGTCCTACAGGGTCAGCATGCATTTGGTCTCTTAACCAAGGAATATGAACTTTGGAATGACTAAACAGGATTAAAGAAGTCAAAATCTTAGGGAGAAAACCCAGCAGCCATACGTAGCTTAATGCTCCTTTTCACTACAGGCAAAAACAAGTATGCCAGTGTTCTGATCTGAAGAACAGTCCAGCAGAAATAATATTCATATTCTTTAACGTGAGTCTGTCATCTGAGAAATAAATATGAAATTGATTTTGAAGACAGGATTCTTGTATAGTGCAGGCATCATATCCTCAGCAGGAGTTTTGTTACTCTCAAGTCTTGCTCTTGATGCACAGCACCACTTCCTACTCTGGATATACTTGCACGCATTTACCTATTTCTTGCTGTTTTGACGGAACTGTGTCCTACCTAGCACAGAATATATACATATATTTTTACTAGTAATTTTTTTAGGTGAGGAAAACTTATGCCTATAATGGCAAAATTATATTAATGGGATGTAATGAGGCCAGTGAGGAAGTGTTCCATTCACCTGTGGTCCTCAAAAATAAGGCCATATAGGGGAGTTTGCTAATTCAGCCTATGTAATTTCAGGTAATTAACCTAATTACCAAAGTATTAACCTTGATACAGCTGCAGTAACCACATGAACTCCTAAAAATATTGGGTATCTTGAAAATATTTATCAGACAAGGTGATTCTGCAGGCCTCCATGTTAGACCTAGTGCTCTTCAGCATCTTCATAAATGACTGGGACATGGGACTAAGAAGGTTTGCAGACAACACAAAACTGGGAGGAACTGTTGGCTCCCTCAAAGACAGGGAGGCCTTGAAGAGAGACCTTGACAAATTAGAGGGCTGGACAATCACCAACCATATGAAGTTCAACAGGGGAAGTGCTGGATTCTGCACATGGGATGAGGCAGTGCTGGATGTACGTTCAGACTGGGGAATGAAATGCTGGAAAGCAGTACCATGGAAAGAGACCTGGGGGTCCTGATCAATGGAAATTGAATATGAGTCAGCAGTGCCCTGGCAGCCAGGAGGGCCAACCGTGTCCGGGCGGGCATCAGGCACAGCATTGCCAGCTGTTCGAGGGAGGGGATTGTCCTACTCTGCTCTGCACTGGGGCAGCCAGTGCAGAGGCCAACAAAGATGGTGAAGGGCCTTGAGGGGAAGCTGTATGAGGTGTGGCTGAGGTCACTTGGTCTGTTCAGCTGGAGAAGAGAGTGAGGGGAGACCTCACTGCAGTTACAACTTCTTTGTGAGAGGAAGAGGAGGGCAGCAGTGATCTCTGTGATGACCAGGGACAGTACCTGAGGGAATGGCCTGAAGTTGTGTCAGGGGAGGTTTAGGCTAGATATTAGAAAAAGGCTCCTCACCCAGAGGGTGGTTGGATACTGAAACAGGCTCCCCAGGAAAGCGTTCACAGCACCAAGCCCACCAGAGTTCAAGAAGTGTTTGGATGATATTGTCAGGCACATGGTGTGACTCTTGGGGATGGTCCTGTGCAGGGCTAAGGGTTGGACTTGATGATCTTTGTGAGTCCCTTCCAACTCAGCATGGTGCTGGGTCCTTCCCCTGGGTCACAATAACCCCAGGCAGTGCTACAGGCAGGGAAAGAGAGGCTGGAAAGCTGTGCAGTGGAAGAGAACCTGGGGGTGATGGTAGACAGGGGCTGAACATGAGCCAGCAGGGTGTCTGGGTGGCCAAGAAGGCCAATGGCAACCTGGCTTGTATCAGCCATAGTGTGGCCAGCAGGACCAGGGCAGTGACTGTCCCTCTGTACTGGGCACTGGGGAGGCCATGCCTCAAATCCTGTGTTCAGTTTTGGGCCCCTCACTACAATAAAAACATTGAGGTCCTGGAGCAAGTCCAGAGAAGGGCAACAAAGCTGGGGAAGGGTCTGGAGGACAAGTCCTGTGTGAAGCAGCTAACGGAGGTGGAGCAGACGAGGCTCAGGGGAGACCTTATTACTCTCTGCAACTACCTGAAAGGTGGGGGTTAGTGTCTTTTCCCAAGTAACAAGCAACAGGACAAGAGGATATAGCCTCAAGCTTCACCAGGGGAGATTCATGTTAGTCATTAGGAAGTATTTTTTCGCAGAAAGGTTGCTTAAGCATTGGAATTGGCAGCCCGGGGAAGTGGTGGAGTCACCATTCCTGGAGGTGTTCAAGAAATGACTGGATGTGGCTCTCAGGGCTATGGTTTAGTTGATACGGTGGCGTTCTGTCAAAGGTGGGACTCGATGATTGTGGAGGTCTTTTCCAACCTTAATGGTTTTATGATTCTATGAAACATGTTGTAGCAGTATCCTATAAGGCATATATTGCTGAGAGCTATAGGCAATTTTCCAAATACTGGAAATCCATGACGTAAAGGAGCCAGAGACTCTGAGCTGATTTTGGCAGATCCCTCATATAAACAGCAAAAAGCAATTCCGTTGTTTCTAAAGTTCCTGAGAGTCTCAAAACCTTCAACACCAATACCACCAGAACCATTTTTTTTTCCAAACTAAGAGGGTCATGGGAAATTTTAGCTGAACCCTAGAAGTTTTGAGATGGAATAGCATCTGTTTTGGCACAGTGTAAAATGGCTGAAGCCAGAGTAATAGGCTCGTGTCAGTGAGATTTTAAGAGCTGGAAAACAAGAAAGTGTGCTGTGAATGGCTATTAGTTTGGGCCATGAGACAGAAATACTCAGGAAGGTTTCTCTCTGTGTGTGTGTGTGTGTGTGTTCCCTAGAAAGAAAGAAAATAATTTCATTTTCTCAGAGTATGTCTACTGTCACAGAATTGCAAAACTACAAATGCTTTTCAGGGAAAACTGAGGAGATCCTCTGCTTTTCATCTTATGATAAGGTGTAAAGATGTTGTAATGGAAAATGATATGAAGAAGCTTTCACTACAGAAAGTTTCCCCAGGAGGGAGAATAATGACCTTTACCCTGTGAGGAAAAACGATGACACCCATCATATGAACAAACCTTAAGGATCATATGTAATACTGAACCAGACATATGAAGCTTTGTAATAAATATTAACTTCCAGTACCAAATCAAGCTGAACCACAACTGAGAAGTGTGATATCAGTGCTGCTGAAAGTGAACAATGAGTGTGTGAAGGGGATGGACAAAGTGTGCCAAGACAACTGACCTGCTAATCAAAAAGTGCAATTCACTTTGAATAGTTCTGCTCCCTCCCCCATTTCTTTGAAAATCCCTAGGAGATGCAACATTCAGTGAGCCCTTGAGGAATGTCTGTCCTTTCTGAGAACACTCAGAAACTGAGAAAAGAAGAAGGGCAGAAAGGTAAGTGCACAAAGAGAGGAAAGGCAGTAAAGTATCTCCATGCCCCACTGTGGTGAGTTCACCTTGGCTAAACGCCAGGTGCCCACCCAGCTGCTCTATCCCTCCTCTTCCCAGCCGGAGAGGGGACAGAGTAAGGTGGGAAAAGAAAACAACACAAATTGTGGGTTGCGATAAGGCAGTTTATATTGATGCAAAAACAAGAAAGCAAAAGCAGCGTGCGCGCGCACAAAGCAGAAGCCAGCAGTTAATCTCTACGTCCCATAAGCAGCGATGGTTGGCCATTCCTCTGAGATGCGGGGCTCCAGCACACATAATGGTTGTCAGCAGGCAGCCATCAGAGACAATGAGTGCCTCCGGTCCTGCTCCTTGCCTCAGCTTTTATATCTGGGTTGACGTCATATGGTATGGAATATCCCCTTGGTCAGTGTGGGTCAGCTGGCCTACTTGTGTCCCCTCCCAGGAGCTCGCCCGCGATTGAATGTTACAGGGCTGTGCTCAGCAGTAGCCAAAACATGGATGTGTTATCAACACTCCCCTAGCTAGCAATGCAGAGCACAGCACTGTGAGAGCTACTATAGGGAAATAAATTCCAGCTCAGCCAGACCCACCGCACTCACTGTGCTACTCAGAAGAAAAATCTGCCTGACGGTCTTTTACTCACCTTTTTTTTTCTTGAGTGAATAGATGAAGTCCAATAGTCTTTAGTCTTTGCAACTAAAATGTGATTTCTTTAAGGATAGCTTATTTTATTATCCAGTTATTTAAACAGAATCCATGTATGCTGTCTAAACTGTGGTATCAGCCAGTTGTTACTAAAACTTCATCAGAGCTTTAATCTTTATGACCCTTCATTCTTACAGGGCTCAAGCCACACCCATGGCATGACACGCTATTATCTCTGAACTGTGAGTGTTAAGGGCTGCTTCTGATAAATGCAATGAATTATAATCCAGTTCAGTACAAATCACACATAATATTACACTTCTTGCTCTGAGAAAGTGATGCTAGTTATTCATTAATTTCATTGAAAAGCAATTTAAACCAAACAAAAATAGAAGTGGTTTTTTCCCCCTGATTTTCATTAAAATGCTCCCATGGAAAATGTCCAGCAAACTCTTAATGATCAGATGTATACAGAGTAGGATATTTGGTAAGCACTCCCCCATGACTAGACAGGATGTTGCTATTAGAAAACTGTGATTCACCATCAAAGTAGTCTCTGATAACAGTTACAACATGTTTTGTAATATGTTCTAAGCGTTAACTGTAATATAAAAAGTGTAATCTTTGTCTTCTAGGAAGTTTTGATACAAATGTTTACTAGGTTTAAGGAAATTAAGATGAATCATTTACAATTATGCAAGACGACAGACTATTTGGGTCACAGAAATAATCTGTTCAGAAGAATTGTTGGACAGGAAGAATGCTTAGAAGAATGAAAGTGTCTTCAACTTTTATTTAGTGTCATGGAAACAACTCTGTGTCAAGAAGTCATATAATCCTCTAAAAAGCTTTCAAACATGAGTACAAACTCTATACATCTAATGACAATGTATTTCTGACAGCCTGACCACATTCAAGCTTTCCTTGATGTTATGCTGTGCAAGTATGCTTGTTTCTACAATGCCTTTCTATTGACAGGTAGATGAATTTTTTAGATACAGAGATGCCTTTACATTATTCTTATATCAATGAAAAGCAAGCAAACTACACAGGAGACTCTTTAATTTTTTTAATCAATAAAGCACATGGAGTAATTTTACAGGAAAAAGAAAATGCTGTGCAGAATATTGTGATTTTCTTTAGAAGTACACAAATCCCCTTTTATTCCTTTTAAGTGGTACAGTTAACAGCAGTACATTCTGAATATCTTCTCTGCTTTTATTTTCAAATGGTTCATCATCTATGCCATAGGTCAATTCAAGAATTTAACCAATTAGACTGTGTGGAATTCATTAGATGAGTATGACCCTAACTCCAGGCTCTCGGTGCCAGGTGAGATGAAATCCCTTGGCTTCAGTTTAAGGTGGATTCCCCTGACTCAAGCTCTGAAGAGGAACATCATGCTCAAAATGACTCAGCACAGGATATGTACTCAAGGACTCAGGTAAAGGGTGAGGACAGGAAGATTGTGTCTGGAGTAATGGCTCATAATAATGACCTAGAGTGAAACCAGACAAGCAAAGGAACATAATCAGCTGCCCAGGTGGATTGCTCTACTGCAGATGCTGTTTCCTAAGTCTTCTAAAATTACATATGGGATAAGCAACCTCTAGAACAACCTGAAATTGAAGCAGGAGTGACCATTTAAAGCCCTTGCTCCTTTCAAGGGAAGTTCTATAGTACAGAAAAGCAGCTTGTCCATTTCCACTAAGTTACCCACTTCAGTGCTGAAGTTAGGAACTGAGCTGATAATCTCTGGTTACACGCACAATTTATTACTAATTTTTTTTACAGGCTTTTATTTCAATGGAAAATATTTAGCTTATTAGTTATTAGAATCACATTGCAAGCTAATGCGTCTATTTTTTGGAACAAAATAGATTACATGCTGTTCTGATACTGTTTGTGCCTGCTAAACTTCAGTGAGATGTTCCTGATGTTTGCAATATTGTTTTCAGTAGGTTTTTCTATTGTGTATCATGAAAAGCAGTAAAATACTGCTCTTATAGCACTGTGTGGCTATTATGGATAAAAGTAGCGATTTTACTAATCGCTTAGAATTGTGTAAGATTAATGTGCTATAGTGCTATCCCCTTTACATACTTATATGTATGTATGTATACTTATATCTTAAATAGATATTATAATTAAAAATATGATAATAGGACAGATGTGAAAAGGGAGAAAGCATCACGACAAAGAGGAAAGCAGTGTGGTTACATGAAGCTTATTACTGTTTTTACAGTGCAAAGTAGGTCTAAGATGAACAGACCACCGATTTTAAACATACTCTGCATTGATAAAATACTACTGGTTTATTTTTGCATAGACTTTATCTAGGGAAATATACTGGTTTCTGGCTTATATATTTTTCAGTTAGGCTTATGCTTTAAAATTAGACATGAAATGTCATAAGAAAAATGAAAAGCGTTGGTTAACAGCTTATCATAACTAAACAGTGAAACACTTAAAAATATGCTGCATAAGAATTAGCTGTGTCTTGCACAACTTTTGAATAATTTTATGAAGCCAGGAAAAATAACCTCATGATTAACAAACTGGATGAATAATAATAAATACAAGTATTTCCTCTGCTACCATAGACTTTCTAAGTGTGCATAGGTGAGTCAAAATTCCTTCATAATTCTGTTCCTTTACAAAACCATAATAGGCTAACAGCACTGCTATGCTTTTACAGAGATAGTGTTAGAAAAAAAATTACAATTCTGAGGCATTCAAATGCTATGGTGACAAGTGCCATTTAAATATTTCAAAACAGATGGGCAAAATCATACATTTTCTTACAATAAAACCTGCATCTCGCTTGGGACTGAAAACAGAGCTGTGAATATTAATTTATCTTTACAGTTCAGTAAATTTTGTCATCCTTCACAATGAATGAAGCAGGCATTCTATCCACAGCTTCTCTATGTTATTTTTTTGCTTTCATTCATGTCTTCCTTCTGTGTTCAGAACCAGGGCAGCTGACACACCCTCTCAGACAGGGTGCATTTTCAGCTGTGCACAAGAGCACAGCAAGTCCACTGGCTCAGTGGCTCTCCCAGGCTCTGGAAAGCACAGCCACCCACAGTGTTCCCACAGAGGGCTTTGCCCTCTCCTCTGAGTCATACTGCTACCTTCAGCAGACTGCTGCTATGAAAAAGCCACCTTTCCCACAGACACAAGAAGAAATTGCAAACACTTTCAGACTTAATCCTACTTGTGGCATTCACATAAGTCTTAGCCTGTCCCAATAACTACTCTCTCTAATTTAGGAACTAAATAGAAGTGACTGAAGGGTGACAGCATCTTTCAAGTGATGGAACACCTTCTGGCACACTTTCAGAGTTGTACTTGCCAGCATCTTCAACCAGGTCTATGCTCTCTTCTTAAAAAAAAAATCTTTGTAAAATTTATTATTCCTTTTAAGCTATTACTATAAAGATATTGACAAGCAAAAACATTTGGGAAAAGTGCAATGTTGTTTTTTTTTCCTTTCAGTGACATTTGTCCCAAGAAGAGGAACAAATTTTCCTGGCTTCCCTGGCAAGGCAAAGCTTTTCTGCAAAAAAGTACATTTTATAGAACTTAGTAGTAAGTCTCCTCAATATTTTCTGATCTGTTGGCAACCAATACTGAGCCCCCTCATGGTGAGGCAGCATCACACTTTGCCAGCATGCCTCATTTTTCTTTTGTTAATTTTGTGTGACTGCAAGTAATATAGGAAGCTCTCAAGGACAAGGCACAGCAAAGAGCCCCAGGGAGACAAGCACACAAAAGAAAGGAGGAAACTAAATGATCTAAATAGAAAGAAAAAATTTCTTAAAGAAACATTTTGCTATCTACATTTCAGTGTATTCTCATATAAACTTTTAATCTTTCACAAAAATAAACATCATTTTTAAGTGCTTTTAGTATGCAAATTCTGCATCAATTTTTAAACGCATAAGTAATAACGATGAGGTGTGACTTATAATACTAGAACAAGCTTGCCAGTGCTGAATTTTCTATCTGTGCTCTTTTATTAACTATCATTTTGTACACTTTAAACTCATTGGATTAAATAGCTACACACTAAATTTACAGTGACAGTTTATAAAGCACTCTCCTGGCTACTCCAAGATATACAGCAAGAGTCAAACTTTCAGGGTGCTTCTAAACATCTTCTGCATAAATATGGGTATTTCTACTTGCAGATACAATTGTGCCCCTGCTTATTTGAATACAGTGTGCAATTTTAGGCCTGCCAAAAATCTGTTTCAAGTTCAAACAGTTATCTCATTTAATGGATCAATCCTTTATGGTCCACTTGACCATAAATATCTCTTCCTTGGAGTATCCTGGGTTCAGCGGGACATGCTACAGTAGGCAGAAGGAGAAATCCAAGAAATCCAATTTCAGTAATTTTCACGCAAAATTCTGGAGGTGCTTCTGTCTTCTGAATTGTCATTGCATCAGCTATCATACAGTATTTGGTGCACTCAAAGTTTGCATATTCTGCCTTGTGAACTGACAGTCTGCTTTCACAGAACTGACATAAGAAAGAAATTCTGAAAATGATGCTTTTTCCTTTTCAAAATGGTAAGGTGATAAAAAAGACTGGGATTGCTACACACAAGCTGAATTCTTGTGTAATTTGGAATAATAAATGATTCCACATAAAAATATGATGACACATTTTCCGTATTAAAAAATGTCAGAATCTTTGAATTCAGTTACTCTCCAAAAATGAGTAGCACTTGAAAGTATATTCTTGAGTATCACAAAATGCCATAAGGTTGTTTATTCTTTCTTTGCATTATTCCTTTGCATGTATGCTTGATTTCCTTCTTGTTTTTCTACTTCTAGGGGTTTTTTAATACACCAGAGTTTAGAAAACATTGTAATCACTGCACCTAAGTTTATAATTTTACAGTAACATTTTGGAGGCAGACCTGAGCAAAAATTTCTGTGCTTTGTAGTTTTTCTTTTCATTTCTCCATTTTCTTCTTTAGAGGCCTTTTGAAAAATCCAGCCTGCAGAAAAGGAAAAAGTGACTAAGAACTGTTCAAAACATAGAATCCATATTGGTCACATTCATGCCCTGGTTCTTACTACTATTTTAATACTTTCAGCACAGTAAAAGTTATTTAATAACTTTTCATTGAACTACGACATTGTTTTTGTTGGAAAGGAAAAACTAAAGAGATATGTCATGAACCAGACAAAAGAGTACAGTTAATATATAGTAGAGCAATTGCTGAATCATTATTATCCTCACACAAAGGTTAAAATGGTTAATAATAATATTTGGTTCTCAGTTGATTATGGAAGAGATTATGCATGTTTAAATTTATAAACTGTAACCTTCTAGCACAATTATAAACTAAATATTTAGCCTGGAGAAGAGTGCCCACTTGTGGCAAGACATACCACAGACCTAGCATCTCTCGCATGTAGAGAAAACCTGATTATCAAAGGCCACAGCCAATGCTAATAGAAAAATCCCTTAATAAATCCTCACTCATACTAAAATATCTTCTTCTTTTCCTTTTCATAACATAATGGCAATACAGATTTCAACTGTATAGCACTGCATGTTACACATCAGAAAACTGTAGTATTTATTAGTTATTTCGTTATTTCCACAAGATTTTATGCTACTTATTAGATAATAGTATTGTCTGTGAGGTTGTCGCTATAAGAAGGAGACCACAGAGAATTTAAGCCTATAGGTTTATTTTCATGAAGACAAGGATGTGCAGCTTACCTTCCACAGAGCAAATATAAGCAGTGCAAGAATCAGGAGTCCGGCAAAGATACTCAGGAGGATAACCCATAAGGGGACTGTACCCGGTGGGAGTTCTTTGGAAATCTTAATCATGGTCTGCAAAAGTGTTCAGAATGTAAGTAATAAATAATTTGTACTTCTAAAGTATCAAAAGAGCAGCAGTGATCAGTATGCAGTGATTTTCAGAGTACCACTTCAGGAACTTGTAGAAAAAATTAAGAAAATAATGTCCAACATGAAAGCCTGTGTTACATAATATCTTGCACTTTCTAACTGCATTCATGTCATGAGGGTGGCCCTACTACAAGTCAGTGGTCATTGTTATAAAGGATACAGGACCAAAACCACGAGTAGTGGAAGCATATATTAGGGAGTTTCTTTGGTATACTCTTCCTCACTCAGTGCCTGCCTCCCTGAGAGATGGAGCTAAGCATGAGTGTAAAAGGTTAATTTGATTTTAAACAAGACATATCTTGTGTAATCTAAACAGAAATAAGTAATATTCACATTTAAATATATGTGACCATGTAGGAGCTTGAATTAACTTCAGAATTTATTAGAGACCAAAAACGTTTATAGTTCAGAAAAGCATTCCTATGAAAAAAATTATTATGTTCTTACCTCCAGTTTTTGATGGTCATTTCTCAAAATCAATGATGAGTTCTCACTCCTAAGTAATGCTTTCACAATAAGGGTTAAGCTGTGAATACTGGCCTGGAAGAAAGGATTAATTGCTATGGTTTATACATAGATATTTTTAAATAGAAAGCTTTGTAGCAATGAGAAGAGTGAGAGAAGAACTTAATGCTTTGGGAGATGCTGAAAAACGTGAAAGTCAGTGAAACTGCTCATGTATGTCACCTTCAGCACATTACTGTTTGCAGACAGCAATACTGCTTTGAAGGGGTAGGTTGCAGAGATTTTGAAGAAATATTAATTAATCCTTGAAAACTATTATGGCCACAGAGACAATTTTGGGCTTTCTAAAATTCTGCTGTATGTCTCCTCCTGCCCTGTTATTTTCCAGAGGAAAAACAAAGATACAAAACAGGAACTCAGTATCAGAAATTTATCAGCTGAGCAAAATAGATGACAGCCAGGTCATTGTAACCATCAGAAAATATTGAGGTGTGCTCTGAAGTGGACTGTCTCTCCTTTGCTCTTTTGATAATGAAAAAAATCCTTTTTATACCTCAGAAATCTTTCCATATTAAAAACCTACTTAAAAAAATATGTTTTTCTATGTACCCTTCCTTACATATGCTGAATTAGAATCTGTGAATGCATAAGTAGCTATAAAAAAGGATCATCTATACAGAATAAGAAAGGGGTGTCTTCTTAACACGGTTTGAAATTCCCACTACGTTACAAAAGCTTACTTTAGGATGAGAAAGTACATGTGACATAGTTTTAAGGAAATTTTAAAATAGCAAAGGAAACTATTTCAAATACTAGAGGGAACACTTAAGAAAATGAAAGATACAATTTTAATAGACATTAGAAACATTGGCTTAAGTTTCTCAAACCTAAATGTATTCTGAACACAAATAGGATTTACTTACTTTTATGATGGTAGGTTTCCATACTCTTAGTGAAACATTCACTTGATATATGTCAGATGGGACCAAGGCACAATTAATAGAGGCACAGCTGTACGTATCACAGGCCTGTTTTAAAGGCACCAGAATGAATTAATAGCAACAAACTTCTCACATTATTAAAATAAAAATATATAAACTACTGTATATACAGATCACTTGCTATGACACCAATACTAAACTGATATTCATTACTGTAGCTTTTTATGTAAAAGTGACACTGCAGTATATAAACCAAGTTGAGACATTCATGCTGTGGTAGAATAGACTCACTTTTTGCAGGCTGGCAAGGCCTGAGGAATCCCTGTTGCTGCAGCTACACAGCAAAAGGCATCACAGAGGTCTTAAAGGAGGCACATCCTGTAACAGCAAGTGGTTTTCTACCAACACAGCTATGGCTTTTCTGCAGTGTTTTTCAAATCATGGACACTGGAATCTTTCAAGTAGGGGAGGATGTGTGTGTGAAGATGTAAGTATCTTTATTTCCCAGTATCACTTGCTAGCAGAATTATGTTGTAACAAGTTGGAAATACTTGCTTAGTATTAAATCACTTCTGTGAAGGAATATGATAAGCATGGCAAAACACTCTTCCCATGACATGGTTTCATTTGGACCAGAAACTCCACTTGTACCTCTACGCTGAGGATGCTTTGCCCCTGACATGCCAACATAACTATGGCAGCAAAATTAATTTGCAACTCTTTCGTCTGAAAGTGAGAGGCTAATCCTTTCCAAATGGGATCATCATTTATAGTTGCATGGAAAATCTGCCAGATCAGAGTGCTAGCATTTGAACATCTGTTGAACTAGATGTCTAAAAAAAGCTGATTGGGTGATCAGAAGCATTTAAAATATTACGATTTATTAATTACAACGGGAACATAGATGATGAAGATTTATTCAGCTGTAAAATGTGCTACTGTTATTTACATATTTTTTAAATTAAAAAAACCCAAATCATCTAAATTCAATTCCACATACAGTTTTGTAGCCAAATAGTTAGTCTACATAAAAAAGACTTTTTAGGCTATTAAGACAAAATGAGTTTCCAAGGGATACAGTTTGAGAGCAGCTTTTATACATGTATTGCAGAAGTATTCAGCTCTAAGATCCGGTTTAATATCTGGGATGAATATATATCCTATAATTAGACTTACCATAATTGTATCCTTCATAGGTTCTTTTATTTTTGACAACACAAATGGTTTCCCAGTGCTGATCTTTAAGGGATCTACAGGGTAACTACTTTGGCAGATGGCATTCTGTTAGCAGAAATACAAATAATTATTGTCTACATATGCAATCTATTACAAAAAATGCTTTCAGAACAAGCCAAAATTAATAATATTTTATATTTAATGACAATGATAATGTTTACTAGCCACTAAATGTATATTGCAAGAGTGCAGAATAAGGAATTCAGATAGTGAAGTATTCAAACAGCAAATGAAATTTTTATGAGACAAATCAACATAAACTCTCTGCAGCTACTTAAACATCTGTAGAAGCAAACAAGAGCTTCCTGCAAGATGACCACTATGAGAACCAGCAAGAGTTGATTATTAAAAGAGCTAAATAGCTTTAGCATGGGAATCCAAAGAGGTTCTGCCGTAGCAAGCAAACAGTCAGGTTAAGTGCAGGATGCAGAATCCTCTACTGCAATGTCCAGAGAGGGGGAGTGGATCTCTGTGACTCATTCACAGGCAGCTTGGAAACTCTCTGGTGTTTTCAGTGTGGGGGAATTAATTTCTTTTCAGCCAGGTCATTGACTTTCACGTTGCTAGCATGAAAAGGTTTACAAATCCCCTGCAGTGCACTTGGCACACTACTGTCACTAGGGCATAGCTAGCAGGAGATGAATTTTGCCCATACAAAAAACCAAATTTGTGTCAAATGCTGTGATTGCGTAGGAGTGAAAATAATGGAGGACAGGAAACAAGAAAAGATACAATTTTTTTTGTATTCTAAATATGATTTGTTTGCTTGTTTGTTTTTGTTTTGTTTTGAAGTAAACCTTGAACTTTTGTTTCTATATTTTAGGGTTTTTTTTAAGTTGGACAGCATCTCAAAAGTAAGTAAAGTATTTGGAGGGAGGTGTACTTTGTGTGTCTCTGAGCAGAAGGAAAAAAAAAAAAGGAGGTTTAGGTCACCACTTGGTGATATTTGGGTTCTTCAGCCACCCAGTTACTGATAAAGCTCTAGTTTTAAGATCTGCAGATCTAGAGTCATGGAATTTACTGGAACGTGATCTCCAGCTGCACTGGAGGAGCGACATTGAAAAACTCAAATGAGAGCTGCAGTGAAGAGCATTTGAAAGATATGACCTACCATCCCCTTCAAGATGTCTCAGTGCCCCAGAGAAGGAAGAAGCCAGAGGACTGCTAGTGCTGGAGAGCAGACATGCAGGAAGGTTAATTTCAGTAACCGAAAGAAGAGAACTGAACAGAACGTTGAGGTCTGGATGTACAGCAGGATTAGAGAATTTGCAATTCACACTGCTGACAATGGAGACAACCATATGGAGGCTCATATCTCAGTCAGGACATCTCAGCACTTGGCAATATAACAAATTAGCCTTGTTATAGTCCAGTTGTTGTTCAATACAATTTTAAATCTGCATGTTTTCTTTTGAGAAAATTTGTCCCTCTGTCTTCTTAT